CCATTTGTTTTATAACTACCTTAATATCAATAAAAAAATGAAATATTTTGAAAGTTCGTTTGGTGAAACACTCCCCCCACTGAAACATTTCTGGATCCGCCCCTGCTAACTGTTTGAATTTGATTATAGAAGAAGAACATTTTTTTTATCATCCTTTCTGTATCTGCCTCCTCTGCTGCAGACAGATATGTACATTTTTTTTTTACATAGAATTGTTTCAACAATATCTATTCTAGTGATTAAATTGTATTTGACACAGTTTCCAAGTTTGTATTGGCAGCAGGACACAACGAGTGATGAGGCTTGAGTAGTGATATTTTGTGATTTTGGTATTTTCCCCTATACATCCAGAGTATACGTAGTGACGTACAAATGAAATTATCTTTCATAAATGCAGGTCATGAGGTACTTCCCAGCTCACTGTATGTTCAGTTTGAATAGACCTATAATATGAAATAGGAACCAGATCCTGCGCAAAGTTTTAAAACAATTTAATTTAATTTTTCCTTTGGTACATTTGTAGTAACATATAGTAGGATTAATTGTGGTCTGAGGCCTGCATAGAACGGGCCTTTCGGAGAGTGGCGTCAGACAGCTGCGCTGTCTCTCGCTGGGACCAGGGCTGAGCAGGACCAGGGGCTGGTGAGGACCGTCAAGATAGGATAACTCGTCCGGACTTGGAGCATGATATAACAGTTGGATATCTTATACCTACATTTTATAGTGTTTAGTGTATACGGTCCTCATCTGGGACATTCTTATGAGGAAATAACGTAGATATTTTTCATTTATACATTTATCAATTAAAGGAAGATAATGTTCAGTGTATATGGCCATTTAAATGGTTGTATTAATTGAGAAAATAGAACCACGACTTATAAAAATGGTTATATGCCGTATAGGCCTAGTTTATAACTTAAGCTGTTAGCGTATACGGTCCTGAGCAGGGACATCCTGATCAGGAAATCAAGTACTAATTATATCCGTATTGATGGATCAAATACACGAAGGTGGCAGTGTTTACAGTCATTTATAAATTAAAGGAAGATGATGTTCAGTGTATATGGCCATTTAAATGGTTGTATTAATTGAGAAAATAGAACCACGACTTATAAGAATGGTTATATGCCGTATAGGCCTAGTTTATAACTTAAGCTGTTAGCGTATACGGTCCTGAGCAGGGACATCCTGATCAGGAAATCGAGTACTAATTATATCCGTATTGATGGATCAAATACACGAAGGTGGCAGTGTTTACAGTCAAGAGAGGAATAGAGGTGGTTTAGAAATACAAATTAAACTATATCTATAGTATTTTATCTTTGTATTCCATTTTATAGTGAATCTATCCGTAGTTATTTATAAAATATATAAAGGCAGCAAAGTTTGCAGTCAAGAGAGATGATTTTGAAATAAGTAAAGTTAACAATGAATACGGTCAAAACATGTGTAATAATGACTTTTAAATGGAAACATTTGAACATGAACGACGAAATACTTAATACATACATCTAATAACATACACGGTCCTGTGCGGGGACATCCTGATCAGGACATCAACTGTTAAATATGTCCGTTATTATTCTTCACATTAGTAAAGTTAGCAATGAATACGGTAAAATTATGTGTAATAATGACTTTTAAATGGAAACATTTGAACATGAACGACGAAATACTTAATACATACATCTAATAACATACACTGTCCTGTGCGGGGACATCCTGATCAGGAAATCAAATGTTAAATATATCCGTTGTAAGTCTTCACATTAATAAAGATAGCAATGCATACGGTAAAAAGAGAAGTCATAATGACTTTTAAATGCAAAAATAGGCATAAAAAAACCCGACGAATTACTTAATATATACATCTTATAACATACACGGTCCCGAGCGTGGACATCCTGATCAGGAAATCAAATATTAAATATATCTGGAATCCTAATGATTTTCAAATAGGTTATCAATTTAATATTATTACAATGATGAACTTCTTGATATAAACACCTTAAAACACCCACGGTCGGGAGCGGGATCATCATGATTAGATGATCAAATTATAAATATATCCGTTGTTTCTCGATGTAAGTAAATTTAGCAATGAATATGGTCAAACGATGCGTCATTATTATTTTTAAATTGATATATACATTACATCAATGATGGAATACATTAGTATACCTCATAACGTTTACGGTGCTGAACGGGGACATCTTGATCAGAACCGTAAACCTTATATACTTTTTGTTATTCAGCACCTAAGCAAAGTTAACAAAGAACACGAAAATAAGTAACATTAGCGATGAAATACTGTAACGTTTTGTAATAATACCATTGCTGTCGCCAGTATAACGTTTTCTATTGCTGTATTTACTCAGTACAGCTGTCATCCGTGTTACATTTCTAAATATCCCTACTACTGGACACAGGTTTTAGTAATCCAAAATCAACTGATAGTCACCAGTGTTACGTTCTCTGTTGTATTACGGATGCTTTCTATTCTCAATTTCCATTGTCACCAGTTCAAATTAATTTACAAAAAAATAAGTACATTTATATTCACATTTTATTTACAAGTATTTTAATCCGTCACAAAATATACAAGTCTTCACCATTGTGAACTCACTCTCTCCACTCAAAACTTATCTCCAACTATAAACTGTAAAACTACAAAGATCTACAAAATACAGCCAAAGCTACTATTCTTACTAACTTTCTAATTATCATTCTAACTGTAGCTTTCTAACTCTCCTCTATGTCTCTGGACCTCTCAACTCTGTCTAGACTCCTTAGCTCAAGTCTCTACTCAGACTCCCCAGACGCAAAATCCTGCTACATTGATAAGGAAGGTAAATCCAGCTACATTTGACCCCTTTACGACTAGGTGAAACTGGCCATAAATCCTGCTAAGTTTGACCTCCTGGTCAAATCAGCTGGAGGCACAAACACTCTGCCACAGACTAGAACTCCTTTCACCTAGAACGTTCACACTAATCTACAGATATCTACGGCTACTTAGCTACTATCTTCAAATAAAACTCTGACACTGACCACGAGCCAAGGCTCATTTAGTTTGAACACTTTAACGGCTAATAAATGCACAGCAATACTATACATATGCATCTAAGTGGGGACGTCCTGATAATGAAATCAAATGTTAAATATATCTGTTATTATTCATCACATCAGTAAAGTAAGCAATGAATACGTTCCAAAGATGTGTCATAATGATTTTAAAATGTAAAACAGGTAACATGAACGACGAAATTATTTATATAAACATCTTATAACATACACGGTCCTGAGCGGGGACATCCTGATCAGGAAATCAAATGGAAATAATTCCGTTAGGTTATTTTTATCAAATACATACATTCGTCAATGTAAAAGATCAAGGGATGTGTCATAATAATTTCCAAATGGTAAATCCTCTAAACATTTAAATCACAATGAAGGAATACTTCATAAAATAATTGTTTCTCGTTATATAAGTTGGCAATGAACACCGTCAAAAGGTACGACATTGTCATTTTTAAATGGCTATATACATTACATCAATGGGGACACCCTGATCAGGAATTATAATAAAAAATATATCCGTTCTCGTCATAACAATTTTTAATGGATATATTTACGGTCCTGAACAGGGACATCTTGATCAGGAAAATCAAATGTTAAATGTAACCGTTGTGATTCATCACATACGGAAAGTTTGCAATGAATACGGTCAAAAGATGTGTAGCTATGATTTTAAAATTAGAAAAACATTACAACAGTGATAAAACACATGATATAAACATCTGATAACGTAAACGGTTCTGAGCGGGGACATTCTGATCCGGAAATCAATTGTTATCCGTTCTTATTCATCCCATAAATAAAGTTAGAAATAAAAACGGTCAAAAGGTTTGTACTTGTGATTTTTAAATGGAATATATATACATATTATAAAAGCTCTTCTAGGACATTCTTCAGTCTCCCTGATCAGGAATTATAATAAAATGAAGAATCTCCTAGAAGAAATAAAAGTACTAAAGACTCGTTGTTGAAATTTTTTCTTTTATATAATATATAAATATATATATATATATATATATAGTTAACATGAATGATGAATATGTTATTAACATATTATAGCGAATACCGTCCTAAGTGGGGACATCACGATCAGGATAAGAATTTGTTGTTTTTTTCCGTAGATTTTTTTTATTATCAAATACTTGCAGTTATGGATGTGAACAATCAAGAACGTTGCCATAATGATTTTCAAATGGTTAATCTACTGAACTCATTATCTCAATGGTGAAATATTAAGAACGTACATGGTCCTGTGCGGGGACATCCTGATAAGGAAATCAAATGGAAAATTATTTCTGTACTTATTCATCAACTACACAAAGGTAATAAGGCGAACGGTCAAGACAGGTGTCATGATATTTTACACATTTAATCAATGGTAAAATACATTATTCATACATTCTATAACGTATACCCTCTCGAGCGTTGCGCTGAGGTAAGAGATGGATTAATCTGATTTTGAGATAGAAAATAAACTATGTCTATAATATAATATCATTTTAATGTCATATAATAGTGTATACGGTTCTAAGTAGGGACATACTGATCAGGAAATCAATGCTCAATACATCTGTAGCTATTTATCACATCTAGAAAGGTAGTAGTGAATAAGGTCAAGAGAAGTGTCATATGATCATGACCGAGGACATCCGATCAGAAAATGAAATAAATACTGAATTGATAGTAATGGATCAAATGCATTCAGACAGATATGTATTGAGTCTAGAGACAGGTAAATACGATTGAGAAGCAAATTGTCATTCTTATAACTGCTTTTGATAGTGTATACGGTTCTGAGTGAGGACATCTTGAAAAGGTTTTCGAAATATCAGCACGTATTATTTTCTTCCTTGTTTGAGTGACGAATTTTCATTTCATGCCTAAGGACCTACTGATTTGAGACAGAGAGGGTCGCCTTGAGAATGCCAGACGGAGGTAAGTTATTGACTCTTACCAGTTACCTCAGCGACTAATTTGATAGGGTATTGGGCGTTTTCTTTGTGATGGTGACTGGAATTGAAACATTAACTGCGCATGTATACCTGACTAGTATTCAATTCTACATTTGCATATGTTATTTCGGAAAAAATCGATCTGAACGCGAAGGAGTTAAGGGGGAACTTTTCTCTTATTTACATACATCACGTTTTCGATTCATCTACATAGTGTTTTCGCTTCTTCGTCATCCTGCAATCTTAGTTTTCTCTTCCTACTTTCTCTTCATCATGATATAGAAACATTTCATGGTTTCCCATTGAATATCAGATATATGTCACGAGTTTTGCGGAATAAGGATATTTTTCACGGGTGCAAAGTACGAGTGCAAATATCGATATATTCTGCCACGAGTGAAGTATATATGGTTTTCAACGGAAAATTATTTAATATTCAATTTCTGACTTTTTACGGAGCAAGTATTACTGCATCAAAAAGAAATAAGAGGCGTAAGATTTATGCAGTGAAGATATAAGGTCTTTTGAAATTGATAATGATTAATATTTTACTGATGAGAATGTGATAATTTCAAATATCATATACTTTCTCATATTTCACATATTATCGAATGAATCTTTTTATGTTATTAATTTTATTATTATTAATGAAGCCGATTTGATAATATGTTTACTTGAGTAGGTATTTAATGTGAATAGTGTTCAATTTCAGATTTTCCCGTTGTCACGTAGTTCAAAGGTATAAAAAATAGTTGCTAGCTGTCAGTACACCAGTGCTGGCCGTACAATTAATTTCTTATGTTAGATAAGGCTTAGTGTATGACTTGTCTGAGTCAGGGGATGCTGAACTGTAGTTCATGCCTATTAAAGGCTGAGATTCAGTGCAATTTGTGTATGTTGGTGTTATCTGGGACATGGAAAGTATCAATTAATTTTGGTGGTGATGATTCGCATACATTAGATTAAGGTTGTTCGTGAGATTTAATTATACTCAACAAAACAATACACGTTTTAATGTATTCGGATTCAGATTCAGATGATACCATTGTGTTTTTCGACACATCGGAGAGAAGACATTAAATATATAGTATTTACAAAACAATACAATGACATACAGTATGTTACACTGTAGTACAACACGACACAATAGTATACATGTATATTATGAAAAGAAGTCTTACATATTAGTTTAAACATATTTTATTGTACAAATATACAAATGGGTCGGACAACAAGTTATTACAACTTAAAAGAGTCCTCTCCTCAATGCATAAGGTAAAAATAGTGTATATGCTTTTTGGGGAAGGGAAAAAGATAGGTTGAGGAAGGAAATGTGGGGTGGGAGGGGGTGGGGTGATGGAGAGGAGGGGTGTTACCTAGAAAATTAAACGTGTAAACTGAGAAATCGATCCGCATTTGAATAAATTATAAATTATACAAATTTCATGACATGCATCCTGGTAGAATAATTTTAAAATGAACAGAATCAATGTAACAAATAAATTAGGCAAAATAATGAAATACAATTTCATAAACACATATAACCACTTACAAATAAATAAAAATAGAAACGTAATTATAACTATCAAAACCTATTGCTGGATTTGATGTAATGATGCACATGTCTAAAGATACTTATGTTCTTTTCTACCGAAATTTGACTATTACCAAAACATATCTAACATATACATGTACTTTGATCTTACTTCATATCGTAATGAATACATAATACTCTTATTCAGTAAGATGCAACAACACACTTCATACACAAAATATTACTTTCAAATACATCATGATATAGCAAGTCACAAGTTAATATCACACATCATAACCGTAGAGTTGTATATAATGTTGTATAATATACTATAATATGTATTATAATGTCCTACACTATAAGTATAGCACAGTATACTATTGTTAGATGCATTAATATACAATTACTTTCATTATATTCTTTCAGCATTTTTCAATGATCAAATTTCAATCTATAACATCAATGATCAATGTCATACCCTGTATTAGAGCACACCGTATTACTTCAATGTACAGTATGATCTAGAAATTAAATACAATTTTTACATCTGTCGTTACTAATGTAATAATAGAAAATTCAATGATATATTGAAAACAATGTACTACCCATTCACTGAATATACCCTTATTAACAACAAACTGTAACATATATACACTTAATATCACCATCCTGTCATATACAATGTAATATCCTTAAGTAACATTCTCTAGATTCTAAACAAAATTGTAAGATACTTATCATAACGAGAAATGAATTTATCCTAAAATTGATAAAATTGAGCTGAGGAAATATGTTTTTATGCAAGTTTTGAAAAATTCTTCTGCCATCTTAAAATGGTGGTTATATAAAAATATAAAGGCAATATATAAGTCAAGCTTTGATTACATGATTGTCTGCTCATACATAAACAAAATAATAATTATTGTGTAAAAAATGTAAGAAACTACAAAAATGTACTTACAAATGAGTATACAAATGTACGTATGGAATTGTTAAATTTAACATATACTTGGCGGCCATCTTGGAATTGGTGGCCATCTTATTTTTGGGGGCCATCTTGAAAGAAAAAGATTTGCCCCATAGCCTAAATTGATCAGTATATAATTCTCAACCAGTATGCCAAGTTTTATGCTTCTATCCTAAAAACCACGATTTTCCTGATTTTTGCACCATTCTCGGCAAATATTTGGCGACCATCTTGGATTTGGCGGCCATCTTGATTTTTTTTTATTGGCCCCATATCCAAAATTGATCAGTATATCATTCCCTACATGCATACCAATTGGTATGCTTCTACTATAAAACCCACAATTCTTCTGATTTCTGCACCAATCTGCCGGACTATATGGATTTGTTTTCGATAGGAATATTTTCGATAAATTATGAAACATTTTGAAATGATCTCTCTAAATATCAGATGAGAGGAATCCGTCACACCTGGGTGTTTTTCGACTCGACAGTTGGCTTCGATAGTGAAAATAACAACCCTCGTAGTGGATATGTCCTCATTGGACCGTATCACATCACAGATGCATCGCTGCATTTAACGTGTGTGCCGAGCTGCGGCGTCAAACTGGTTTCCCCATATAATCCCAAACATGTTCTATGGGCTGTTTACGTTAAAAAGTTCTGAAGCACCTAATAAACACGTCTCAATATTTCATTTCGATAAACATTCTAAGGTTTCATTTTTTGTTTAGTTGATTGACGTGTCTTGGTTAACTTTTTTATTTATAGTTTTGCGTTATTTTCAATAACGGATCAAACATTTTAAAACGACATAGATTTCTGGAAATCAGCTGGCAGCAGCATGAATTCACCACAAAAACAATCGTGAAAGCGAGTCACATATAAATTGTTAACAAATATAAAATCTGTGGTTTTTGAAAATGTTATAAACTTTAGTTATTTTACTATTATAAAACGAGGCTATTACAACTTGTATTAACCCCTCTCGTTGGCCCAGATGTTAGTGTGCGGGGGCTCTCAATGTGAGAGGAAACTGGAGTACCCGGAGAAAACTCACGTGGTCGGGCAGATGACCACATACCATTTCACGTCCGAACCCCGGCCGCCTTGATGAAAGGCGAATTGGTTAGCGACCACATCAATCCACAACCCATGAAGGTTGATGAAAACTGTGCACACAACCTCATTAGGAGATATTCCACATTTTGTGATATATGAAGGTTGTTTATATTATGCTCATTTGAGTCTATTGTTAGGTTCCTACTATTCCAGTTCTCGCTATGAAGACATGGCATTACTGGGAGTTTACCAAGTCTAACGTGGCAGGTGACGTCGATAAAGAAGAAGATGCTTACACTTCTGGAACACCTACTCATATTCTCCTTTTACTTTTTTAAAGGTTTCCCGTGTATCTTTGCTTTGTTTATACTATGCCATAGCATTATCATTAAGTATTAGCATTTTATCATTTTTGCCATAGTTTTATCGATTTTGAGTTCGAATCAAATTTTGCTCACACAATAATATTCTTATGTTTTTTTTTATCTATACTCCTGCCAACAGTTATCCGGGCCATATCAACTATACTTTAAAACATATAAGACATACAGAGTGTATAGACATTTTTATTTTTTTTGGATACTACTAGACATCCAGATACACACCTTTGTTATGTATTGGATGACGGTTTTATGTACGCTACAATACGGCCACGGTGGTCTTCGGTAACATTTTACCTGTTTTCCGTCACACAATGTCAAACTTTTAGATTTGAACACATTTAACTTGGTACTACGGCACAAGTTAGGATACTGATATGTGGTATGGTAGGGTTCCTAGGGCTTTGTTTATTAATCAAACTTTATTTTACAACACTTGTGAAACAAGTTCTATCAACTTATATAAGTCACTCTTGTTGGTCCAGATGTTAGAGGGCAGGGGTCTAGTGTGGGACGAAACCGGACAACCCAGAGAAAACCAACATGGTCGGACAGGTGACCACATATCTTTTCACGTCCTGTCGGGAATCGAACCCTGCCCGTCTAAGGAAAAGATGAGTGCTCTATAAACTTCAGCACTCAAACCTCACTGATCTCAGCTTGTTCGTGTTATGGGCAAACTTCAAAAATTCTGACATCAAACTTGATATAAGTCAATATGGAGATATTTTAAATCTTGCGGTAGAAGAGGTCACCAAAAATAGATATGTTACAGTTACGTATAGGTATAACAATGTTTATGACACAAACAATGAGCGTACACCTAGCCTAGAAGCATTACAAAAAACATACAATAAGAGGGATTACAATATACATACAATAAGTGGCATTACAATATACATATTATAAGTGGCATTACAATATACATACAATAAGTGGCATTACAATATACATACAATAAGTGGCATTACAATATACAAACAATAAGTGGCATTACAATATACATACAATAAGTGGCATTACAATATACATACAATAAGT